CCCCCCCCCCCGAGTTTCTCTTCGTCTGAGTTCTTAAATATGAAAATGGGAAACGAACGACAAAGTTCGCTTTTAATTATTCCGCCTGTTCGTCGGTTTCGTTGGAACGAGGAGGGAGATTTAATAACAATCTCAGGGACAACAGAGTCGCTCTGCCAGGTTGCAAACGAAACGATTCGTGGATCGTCTGCTAAAATTGTTCGTACTCGTCCCAGAGATTTCTGGCTGATGTTTGAACACAGAGCAAACTTTCGCCGCGATGGCACCGAGATTACCACGTCACCCTCGGGGGGTTTAGCATCGTCGCAGACCATCGCGACGACCATCTTGTTCTCCCAAGTTCTCCTCCACCGAGAAGACACCACAATGGCGGCTCAAGTTTCTCGCATGAAAGGACACGAAGCCGAGGATGTTTGTTATCCCAAAGACAATGCCGCTCCTCCCGCAGCTGACTGCGAAACTTTTCCACGAGGCAGAATGAACAAAAACCGGTGAGAAAAGGTGTCGAAGATGAACGACCGGAGGAAAAAGAAACGACAAGAGCGAGAGGGAAGGAATCACCGTCCAGAATTCGTAGAATTTTTGCGCTTTACGGGGTGGGGTAAATTGTTTCTTTGGAAAAAGAAAAAAAAGATAAAAACCTATATATACCTGAGTAAAGCCATCGGCGAGAAATTTCTCTCGAAATCGAAGATATTGAAGCGCGTCACCTTCCTCGAGACGAGGCGTCCAAATTTCCATTTCCCACTTTGCCTATCTTCGCCTGTCAACATCGAGCATCGATCTACTCGTCGCTCGAAGGAAGGGATCTGCTCGACGTTGAAGCGAAAAATTTCCCCCCCCCCTTGGCAACTCCTCTCCTTTCCTCGCCTGCGAAGGTTCTGTGTATGTGACCGGACACGGATCAGACCCGAGGGGAAACGAAGACGTCTGAACGAAACGGAGACGACGAGAAAGAGAAAGAAGCTTCCACGCGAACGGGTTGCGAAGATCTACCAGGTGGAGGGACGAAGAAAAGAGAGGGAGAGCTAGCGGGGAGAGAGGGATGAAGCGGTGAACGAAACGGTGGCAGGGACAGAGGGGGTAAGAACGAAGAAACTAGGACGAAAGGTGCGAGCCCAGGATGACGGTGCACTAGCTGGGGCCACTGACATGAGACCGTCCACTTCTATCGAGGGGTGTACGGCCATTGAATTCGCTGGATTTCCACCCCACCCCACCCCCCAGCTGCAACCTACTTTGCCAGCTACTTCGTTCGTTTCCCTCGCGCGAACCCGTCGAGTGGTCGTCTTATTTCGACGACCTGTATTCGAAGCGTTTCCAAACGAGCAACGATTTCGTAACGAATCCACGAAAAATTGTTGCCACGTTAACAACGTTCTGTCGATACCGGTATAACGAACAATTATCGAGCGACCTGCATGGATTTCGAATTGACAG